AACAACAACAGACGACAACAACAACAACCGCAACCACAACAACAACAGACAACAACAACAACAACAACAACGACTCTAGATACACTCATGAAAGCACACTGCATCGACTTGTTGATCACAATGCGATGCACAGGGCTTAAGCGTGAATGTCAAAAGGTTGCAAGCAGCAACGTCTAACGGTCATCTTGCCTTTAGATCGTCGACCGTCGCTTGATGGGCCATTTGCAGCAGCTGCGGTGGCCCGAACTCGCAGCACACCACCACGCAAAAGCCCCCTCGCTGCAAAAGGCAGTGGGAAGCATCAAGGAAACGCGACAAGCAGACATGAAAACCAGCCCGGATTGAATCAATCGATGCCCCGTGGGCCTGTCATATTTGCCTTCGCCCCAAAACGCGGGCTCAAACCGGCCAACAGAGCGCTGACTGATGCTACACGCTGCTCCGGTCGTCAACAAGTGCTCCTGTTGCTTTTGTTCTTTTTGCGGGCTTTGGGTGAGGGAATATGTTTCTTTCATTGTTCCATTTTGCTTTGTTGGCTTTTGTGTAAACGTGGAGGAAATATATAACATATAAGTTAAGCGTCGTGTATTTTGCTACCTGCAAGAATTTGAGCAAAGATGCGCACCTTCTACACTCGAACTACCAGGTACTTAATTGCGATACCGGACTGCGCTCTAGCAGCGTGCAAGTTCCTTTATGCTGTGGCTCAGCGCAAGATCTGTGTTTCTGAGCCATTAAGCTGGGCTCCTGGCGCCGTGGCAGGCCGAGCGCGCGGGTCTCCATGACCCGCACAACTGTGCCAAGGTAAACTAGCTTGGGAGCTCGCCGCGCTACCTGGCTTTTCTTTTAGGAAGACAATGCGAGAATGCGTTGCGCTTTTCGCGCCTTGCCTCCGCCTTGCCCACATTGGCCTCGACATGGAAAACGCGAATGGGAGAACGTCTCTCTACTCTTGCGCATCGAATAGCAATCGCCTCCACCAGGGCGTCATAGTGGTTGGCAACACAGGCTCCAGAGTAGAGCAGGTGCAAGGAGCCACACACCTGCAGCAATCGATGTTATGCTTGAGCGCTCGCGTTCGACTTTTGCGCCCGACCTGCTCATGGCAAGGCCAGATGTCGGAGGTGCGGAACTGCTCCCCCACTGGCGCCAGGTCCCAGACCGTCACCATGAGGCCCGTGAAATCCACGAAGGCCTAGCTTGTCAGGAAACGGTTGCCTTTTTTGATCGTCATTATTTGCTTTTCCACATGGCCTGCAAAGCGCGGTGGTCTCCCCAGGCACCTGGGTGAGGACCCGCAGCAGAGCGGCGCATCTCGCCGAGGTAGGCGTCGACGCCATCGACGTGGGCGGGCTCGTAGAGGTTTGGAGCTTCTGTCCTCATAGCGCTCGCGCCGCCAAGCCAGTTGCTCGCAGGCAAGGCGACGTACGTCTTGGGCGCGCGTGATGCCAAACTCGAAGGCGTGCAAGGTGACAATCACGCGCTCCGCGCTCCGAATGGGATCCAGGGTGCCTTGTCCTGTCGCTGGGCGATGCCACTGTCGCTTACGCTCCCGGCGTGCCTGTTTGCTGTCCGCAGAAATTTCGGTTGAAAATACAGTTTTTCTGCGCCTCTGCTTTGGCCTTGTATGCCTCCGCCCTCTCAGCAGCTCTGAACAATGCAGCCAGCCTGGCAAGTGATTGGCGCTTTAGCTTTCACCCTGTTCGCCTGAGGACTCCGACGCCTCGCTTGCGGGTGACAAGGTGCGTCCGCATCGGAGGCGGCGCCGCAGCTGTCGCTGCTGCCGCTGCTGCTGCTGCCGTCGCTGCTACTGCTGCTGCTGGTGTCCACTGTAGGCTGGCGTTCGGCAAAACGGGATCGGCGCATGTAGTATTGGGGACAGGGAGGCGGGATCCTCTTCTAAAATCTAACCTGAGAAACATCTATCAACGAATCAGGCTCTGTGTTTCTGAGCCATTGAGCTGGGGCTCCTGGCGTCGTGGCAGGCCCAGTGTGCGGGTCTCGAGGACCCGCACGACTGTGCCAAGGTACACCACCCTGGCACGTCTTGGCCTGACAAAGGTTGACCACTCTATTCTCGGGTCACACAATGGCCACGTGAGTGTGAACTTGGGCTTTAGTTTTCCTGTGAATGGCAATGGAGAATTGCAACTGCAGGATAGAGATTCCACCACCCGCTACATGCGCGCACTGTGCCAGGCCAAGATTTGCTGGTAGCCGGCCATTCCGGCCGCTTGTTGACCACCGGCATCCTAGCAGAGTGCCGGTGGGATCAATAGGACAATGACTAAAAACGGGCCAATGCATCCAGCAAATCCTTGCCAAACACCCGAAGCTAAGGAAGGGAGCTATATTATAAGATTGACACCAAGCGCATGTAAACATCTCCTTTTTAAAGAACACACTTGTTGAGCTTTTTTGGTCTTGCATTGGTCCCTTTTTACGGCCTTTTTAGCGCAACCCTTGAACAATTCTGCGCTTCAATGATCTTTCAATATTCTACTTTGCATGCCCCATATACCCTAACCTCCTGTATGGGCTGTTTTAGTGTGGGGACTTATACGTCTAGTTATGAAACTACAAGCTAACTTGTATTTCAATAAGTTACAATAAGTAGTTGTAACTATGTCAGTTATTTGCATGAAGTTTAACGATTTTCAGATACTTGCACCAGAAGATGTTAGACATGTGTTTGATGGCTGTATTCAACTTAAACAAAAAACTTAGACAAAAAGTACTTTAAACCCAGATAGTGCACCTCTTGTGGTAGAAGCAAGAAATTGTTATTATATAGTTTCTGCAGATTTGGAGTTCAACCTTGCTTTCATCTCTTGAAAAGTATATAGTACATACATTGTCAGGAATGTTCCGAATCGAATCAGGAATCGGAAACGCTACCAACAAGGAACCGAACCGCTGCTGAATCGCCACCGAAACGTGAATCGAAATGGGATTTAAGGAATCGAAAACGAAGGAATCGAATCGCTCTCGAACCGGCTGTGGGATGACTGATAGTGTGTGTGTGCCCTCCCAAGCCGATGGTTCCGACGCTATGACGATGGTCGATGCTTAACCAGTAACAAGGACGCTTCTGGGGGCTCCTGGCCTACTACTATAACAAGGATGCTACTAGGGGCTCCTGACCTAACTACTGTAACAAGGACGCTACTAGGGGCTCCTGGCCCTACTACTAGTGACAAGAACCGTACTAGGGTCTCCTGGCCCTACTACAATAAACAAGGACCCTACCGGCAAAAAGCTCCAAATTTCATCGAAATATGGAGCTTTTGTGACCGGGACCTAAAAGCTCCAAATTTCATCGAAATTTGGAGCGTTTGCGTTTGCAACCGCCACCAAAAAGCTCCAAATTTCATCGAAATTTTGAACTTTTGCGCCTGCCACCACCGGCACCAAGATTTTTGGTCGTGCTTGGATCGCTTTGTCGCCAAAAAAACACCACGAAGGCAAGACCGAGAATTCAGGACGTTCGCAAATGATAGCCATTCTTATCCATTAGGCCACAGAGTGCTGTGGCTAAGATGCCAAGATTGCTTTTCAGTTGCGCCTTCCGAGCTCGCTTTCTCTTACGGCTAAACAGCCCCACCAAAAAGCTCCAAATTTCATTGAAAATTTGGAGCTTTTGGAGCCGGCACTAAAAAGCTCCAAACTTTACTGAAATTTGGAGCTTTTGCGACCGCCACCGCCACCGCCACCAAAAAGCTCCAAATTTCATTGGAATGTGGAGCTTTTGCGACCGCCACCGCC